TGTAATGACATAAATATATATATACATATATACACATGTATGTGAAAGGAAAATATTCATTCCACTATGGTTACACAATGATGATCAGGGAAACTGACAAATAAGAACATATTTTGACAATTATGTTATTCCTTATTTCATCTCTAAAGTCTTTTATTTATTTATTTTTGGTAATTTCTTCCTTGGCAGAGAATGTAAAATTTGGGGGAAAGCTATATCATTTACTTCTTAAGACAAATGAGCCTATGTTAAAGTCAGAATACTGGAAGGAGACAGAGAACACTACCACCTATAGCAGAGACATGTACTAACACTACAGTTACTCCTGGTTTGTACACTTCAGCTGGGCAACCAGGAAGGCAGAAAATTCAAGGTTGGCTCCCAGACAGGCAGCAACAGCAAATGGTGGTGATAGAAGTTATCAAAAGGAAGATAAGGAGACCCTCAGGCTGGAACAAGGTGTCAAAAAATGCAATACACACTTATATTTGAACTCATGATCTCCTAGGCAATTCGTGTATTAAAAAAAAAAAAAGAAAAGAAAAAAAGAAAGAAAAGAACAGCCAAAACAATGTTTTATGTACATCATCTCATTATTCCTTCTTACAGTTTAATGAAGTAAAAATTATTCTCATCTTCATGAGAATGAAGAAACACAGCTACTCAGTGGGGGAGCAGTGCCCAGAAATGATGAGATTTGGCACAAGCCCCGTACACATCACCACTCACATCCTGATGGGCCTTCAATTCATACTGATCGACATTCCCCCGGAGCTTTCACTGTGAAACACTGGATTGGCAGGGCACTGGGGCACTCAGCTAGATGGGTCCTGATATTGGTTTGGGGCCCACAAATGGTTGCTAGTGGGACAGGCAGAAGGATGCATAAGAGGAATATGAGCTACTAAAGTCAATGTGAAGGAAGAGAGAAATGAATGGGATTAGAACATGTGGGAAACTTAAAATATAAGAGAGGAGAAGTGGTGGGAGGCAAAGCCAAACAAAACAAGCCTCTTCAGAGAATAAAGAGTGTGATGACTGTGAGTGAAAATGAGGAAATCTTTCCTTGAAGCCACTGAGAAGAAGGGGGAAGTGAGAAAACAAAACATAAGGCCAAGCCCTGCTGGGACTGAGGAGCAGCCCCACGGACCCCATGATCCCCTCTCACCAGGCTGAGGGGGTTGAGCCTTGAATGTGATGCTGTGGCTGATTATTGGAAGTGATGCGGAGCCTTCAGGGGGATCCTTTAAGAATTTTGTGCACTTACCAAGGTCAGTTTAAAATTACAACCTAAACTTAGTGATGTAGACAAGACTCAGGATCAACTTATGGCAGTCCATTAAACAAGTTAGAGCCGATTCCCCCACCCGGTAGCTCTTTCCTGGAATGGAGTCCTTAACTGGAGTCCACAGACCCTCACAATATCTACAGAAATGTTTCAGGAGGCACAGAACTTAAATGGGGCCGAGGAACTTCTCCCTTTTCACTTACCTCCACCTGAAAGTAACCATTTCCTTTCTTGTGAATTTAGACAGGAAATCAAAGCCGCAATTTCCATAGGACCTGTGACTTTATCACCAATACATACTCATCCAGCTTGATGATCCAGCTGTCATAGTGGAGATCACACTCTATTTCCCATCTCAACTAAAAGGAATTTTATTCTATTCTTTTTGAGCAAAGATAAGAACTGATAACTCGAAAACTGTGCTTCTTCAACCTGAATGTGTAACCGGTCACCCGAGACTCCTATGAATGCAACTTGGGACTGAGTGGGTCTGAGTGGGGCCCTAGAGTCTGGGTGCCTAACGAGCTCCCAGGGGGCTGACTGGTGGACCAGACCCGGAGTCCCCAGGCTGCACGGTTATTTGTACGAGGAACTTTTTTCTTTAAAGATTTTATTTATTTATCTTTAGACGGTAAGGGAAGGAGAGAGGGAGAAAAATATCAGTGTATGGTTGCCTCTCATGTGTCCCCTGCTGGGAACTGGCCTGCAACCCAGGCATGTGCCCTGACTGGGAATCGAACCATAATACTCTTGTTTGCAGGCCTGTACAAGGAACTTCAAAGATGAAGATCCTTATTTGGACAGATATAAAAAATATTTGAAGGTATAGAGACTATGTCACTTGGTATGTATTTTATACCTCACATGATGATGTGAACAATTACTTAAAAATATTCTCTTCATGTTTATCAGTATATAGAGTTAGATAAATTGTTCTCTCAAGTGTGTTTCCTTATCAGTTTGTTGATACCTTTATTACTTCATTTATCATGTGGTAATATAACTGTTTATAATAAATGTCCCCCAAGCCTGTGGTGACCACATCTTCATCTTCACCCCCAGTGTCTTTCAGAGTATTTTGTAAATATTAACTTTTTAATGAACAGTTAAAAGGGAGCTTACCAATGCCATGTTTCTTTCTAGATCTTTGAATTGCACGCATTGGAAATGTAGAGTCCTTAACCCAAACACATTTGTGTTTAATTCCCAAACAACTTTGGAAGATAAAATTTTTTTCTGGTTCATTTTCCTCATCACCCAAATACTCCTTTTTACTTGGGGCCTACTCACTTTTTAACTACACTTGCATTTGTCTAATTCAGCCTGAAACGCCTTTTTGTAATTCAGAACTGATAGTAACAGGATTTCCCACCAGAACAACTTCCATTTGTTACAAATGGAGTTGATAGAAAGTTCTGGTTCACATATTACCTAAAAAGCACGTAGTTTGTGGATGCTCACAGTTCGAGGATGCTCCCAAATAGGCATAAAATAAACTTGGTTTGGCTCTAAATCCAAGGTGCTCGGGGCTTATCCCTCTTAACAAGGAGCCATGCATGTGTCCAAAGGCACCGGGGCTCTATCTGACATCCAGATCCACAATTAAACACAACTGAACTATGCACTTGAACTGAGTGAACTGCATGGCATGTGAAATAAAGCCGTTAAGGGAAAAAATAGAGAGAGAGAGACGCAGTATCCCAGTCCTCATAACCAAGGAGTTGGCTGTGTGCTCTGAGCAGCTGCATGGTCATTATGATAACCTTGGCTTGAAATCTGAACTAGTGGAGGCTTCTGCATTATGGTTTTGCAGCAGGGGCTACAGAATCAGAAGACCCAGGCTCAAGTCCCAACTGTACTACTTTCCAGTTGTGAAACCTTGGGAAAGGTTTTTTTTTTTAAATCTTTCCCCCGGGATAGGTTCATTGACTTTAAAGAGAGAGGAAGGAGGGAGACAGAGAGACTGAGAGAGAGAGAAAAACAGAGGCATCGATCCGTCGCTTCCTGAACACACATGAAAGGGGCATAGAACTTGTAACCTTTTGCTATACGGGCTGATGTTCCAAACTACCTGAGCCACCCGGCAGGGCTTAGTAAGATTTTTAATCTGCCAAATGAGCTGACAATAGTACCAAATTCCAGTGGTTATTATGAGAGTTAAATTGGACAATTCTTGTAAATGGCTTAGCACAGTGTATGGTGGGTGCTCAATACACGTTGCTACTTTAATTTTTATATGATTTGTAGTTCATCTTCTAGAACACTGGGAATGGTATACTGGAGAAAGTCAGGTGGCAGTGCTTGTCGCTGGGTCCCAAAGCCATCATCTCTCATTAAAAGGTGCTTTGACCTTCTTGGGTCTATCAAGGCAACCCTATTCTCACACTGAACCTGACGGCTGCCCTCATGGTCTTTCACAGCTCAGATCTTATTTCAGTGGCTCACAGTCAAGGTGACCCATCAAAATCATGTGGAGCTTGTCAAAGACGAACTTTGAGTCTCCCGCTGAGGTGTGGGGCAATGGGTCTCTAAGTGCGGCCCTGGGACAGACCCATCGGCCTGCTGACCTGGAAATTCAGGGTGATACCCCATGATCTGGGGAACCAGCCCTCCAGGTTATTCTGATGCATGCTGAAGTTCACAATAACTGACCAAGTGGAATCTGATTTTAGATAAGCTCCTCTTGTGATTTAGCCCTGCTCATTTGCATACTGTCCTGGGAACCAGTACTAGAACAACAGAATTGCACTGCATCCTGGCTAAACCGTCCAACCTACCAGCAGAGACAGCCTCGGCATTCTCTTCTGTGGACCCGTCTCCAGAGAAGAAATGGACAGGTCATGCAAACACCTGTCAGGACACGTTTCCTCTGGGGACACTAGTTTTTGTTAAGCTCACTCCTTTGTTTTGTTCTAGACACAAGCTTGTTTTGAAGGTTACTTTATTGATTGATTCATTTCTTTTATCACCAAACATTTATCATGTCCTTACTCTGTGTCAAAGCATCAACAACAATGGAAAAAATGTCGCACTTCACGAGAAAACATTTTAGAAGACAAAACTGACCATTAACAGAGACGATGGCATTTTCTTTCCCTGGAAGCCTCAGCAAGTGGGTGAACAACACTCCATGTTGACCATTTTGATACAGCCTTTTCTAAATGTAGGAGAGTGGACTGTATGTTTTTTGTTTTTGTTTTTTGTTTTTAGTTTTTGAAAAGCCCAGAGATACAAAAAATATTGAACATTTATTTGCAGCATGTTCTTAATTTTCTTAAAGTGTTTTCCAATTCCTGGTGAGGTTTCAAGGAATTACAATAATTTCAAAATAAGTCAATGAAAATAAAAGCAATAAAACATAGCCTCATTAGGGAATAGGCAGGAGCTTGGTAAAGATGCTGGAATAGTGGGCTTATAGTGTACCAGTGTATGCAATTTCCGCTTCTAAGAAAAGGTGATTTTGTAGCTTTTTAAAGCTCAGGTACTGAGTTTTGATTGTGCTTGTAAGTTAATCATGCATTAAATCATGTCATAATACGAATCTGAAAAATGCATCCACACTTTCTCTATAACCTGGCATCAAAATAATATCAGGAAAAAAAGCAAAAGGATACGCCAGCTTAACCTGCCGTATCCAAAGTCTTTATCAAAAGTTTCCTATAGAAAATAGGGTTCTAGCCATACAAACATAAATCACGTTTCTCAGGCTTACCAGTTTAATATGTTCTCGCTTCTGGTATTTTTCACTATAATACTGTTCTTGTCGAAGATTAAGCAGTTGCTGTTGCTGTTTATCCTTCAAGTCTATTAACTTTTGGGTCATTTCGGCATCCAGGGCAGCAAGGTCCTGCTCAATGGCTGACGAGCCGTGGTCAGGGCTGCTGGGCTCCGATCTGCAGGGACACAGAGGTGGACTCACAAAACATGCAGGTCGTAGTAAGGGGAGAAGGGGTTCACCAGAGTTCCTTCCAGAGAGCACTGTGTTTGCAAATATTTCAATAGTCCACTTCAGGTACAGGCTGGAACCCCAAGGGCAAGACATTTGTTTAGACCCGTCAGTATGTGCCAGGTACTTTCTACTTTACAAAAGGCTTTCCCAACAACCCAACGAGTTGTCATGTCTCTGTTCAGCTAACATCTGAGGAAAACAGGCTCCACGAGACAATGTGCCTAGAGCCACTGCGTGGGGAGGCTGTGGTGCAGCTCACCCAGGGACAGACTCCGAGGGAAAAGCAAAGTCTGTGCTGTTCAGGGCAGCACAGAATCATTGCGCACCAGTATCTGGACAGAAAATAGCTTTATACGATCTGCTCTTCAATTATGTGGAAAGCTCGGGTGAGATGATGGATATTTGAATAAAAAAACTAATGAATATTATGTCCACTTATAACTCTGAGCTATTTTTAGAATTTTAATGCGTATCAAGGGGGATGGGAGATGGACAGATATATTCAGTGGCTTTGTCTCTTGAAAAGTTTCTCCTCTTATGTCTTTTGCTACTAGATGCTTAGGGGTTTTTGTTTTTGTGTGGAAGGAATGTATAAAAAAGTAACCAAAGGAACAACGTTTTTGCATCTACCATAAAAACAGAGTTGAAAATATCTCATTGCCTGATGTTCCCTGTTTAAGATCCAGGAGATGAATTCTTTTGTAATTTAATACTGGGAAAATGTTTGTCTCTCTTGGAAAAGCAAGCAAGTTTCCTTTAATCAAATAAGGAGAATTGTCTAAACCATATTTCCTTTTCTCAGAAGCTAAGGGCTAAATTCAGTGTTCAAGGATAGAAGTTACATTAAATGGTTGGTGCTGTCCAGTAGAAATATAACATGAGCCATGTATTTAATTTTTTTCTACACATGTAATTTAAAATTTTTAGTAGCTACCTTAAAAAGTAAAATGAAATGTGTGAAATTAATTTTAACAATCTATTTTATATAACCTAATTAATTGACCCCTAATAGTATAATTTTAACATGTAATTAAAGCAAAATACAACCAGAAACACTGAATAAAGAACAATTTCACAGTAACCAGAGGGGGGAGGCAGAGAGGTAATAAGGGATAATGGGGGTGGGGAGAACCAGGAACATGTATGAAGGACACATGGACAAAGCCAAAGGGGGTGGGATTGAGGGTGGGAGGTGGGGTGGGTGGCCAGGGGGGCATGATGGGGTGAAAATGGAGATAATTGTACTTGAACAACAATAAAAAAATAAAATAGTAAAACCAATGTAAGTCCATAGAAAAGATGTGAGTTATTTTATATCCTTTTATTTTTAAATCAAGTCTTTGAAATCAAGTATGTATTGTATATTTACAGTACATTTCAATTTCTATAAGCCACTTCCCAAGGGCTTAATAGCCACATTTGTAGCAAGTAACTCCTGCATTGGGGAGCAGGTCTAGAGCTGCTAGCCACTCAGTCTGTGTGTATGTTGTTTTTCTTTTTCTATTTTCATAAGATTTTTACACACATCTTCTATAAGTTACCTCAACACTCTATTGGAACTTTGCAGGATAAGACTTATAGGTAAATAAACATGTGAATAGACAAATGACTACATACATGTCACTAAAAGCGGAATTTAGGAAAAGTTTTAGACCAAGCCTTCTCAAAACTGTTTGCCTAACTGTGGGTAAATGTGAATGCCTTTAGCTTTCAGCTTCTTCCCTGGAAGTTCACCTCGATGGCTTCTAAGGCAACTCCAGCTCTACAAAATAATGATTTAGTTGCTTCATAGAACACTAGTACTATGTTTTGATTGTGCTTTTTCATCATATGTTAAATCTTATTATGTTCACAATAGGAATTGGAAAAATTCACCTTACCTCTCCCTATAAACTGGCATTAAGATAATTCAGTAAAGAAGCGAAAGGAAGTCTGTAGTTCAGACCCTCCAACTCTGCTCACTGACAGGTAGCTTCTGTGCTCACACAGTTCCCGGCATTACCGTATCAGCTACGGGGGGGTGATAACTGTACAGATCATATTAACTGCTGTGTCCCCGGGGCATACAGTTGACACTCCATAAATACTGGTTGACTAAATATGTAAGAGATGCTTCTCCCCATCATGTCTGGGTGAATGGAGATATGGGGTCCCCTAGATCCAAGCACAAGAATAACCTGTGCAGGGCTTTATGGGTTTTAGATAGTGCAGCAAAGTGGGGACTGTATGACAAGCTGTCTTTTCAAGTAGGTTCTAGGTCCACAGAAAATTTTCATATCCACCAGGTTGGCCACTGTAATATGGGAAGTGAGCCAAATGATATTGGGCTCATAGGCTAGAACTCAAGGGTAGAACTTCCTGCATATCTGTTTTCAGAATTTGGTCAAATAAAGAAATTCAGTCCACAGGCAAATCTGCACTGAAGTGACAGAGGAGCCATAAAGAATGGACTGGTATATTTCCTTTACCAGTCCATTGTACTGGTATAGGTTGGCTTTCCTTCTCGCACTGGTATACGTCCAAAATACGTTACAAAACATCAAAATCCACGTAAATGACTTTTCCTCATGTCATCGAACACACACTCATTCAACTTACTTTTTCTTACTATCTTTTTTGGCTGTCTTTTCCAAAGCTGCCCTCCTTCTTAAGTAGTCATTCTGAATTTCATTATATTTTGTAGTGTGTTCTTTGATAAGGTCAGTGGTTTTCTTGTGGTGTCTCTTAACCAGGTCTTTCATTTCTTTGTAGTGCTTCTTTTGAAGTTTTACAAATGATTTCTGTTGCTTCAGCTCTTCAATAGTCTGCGCTTCCACTTCTGCAACACATGAGCAGAAAAATTAACAGACATGGAAGGACTGAAAGTATGGATGTGGAGAGGAGCAGTAACTGACTATTGAGCAATGTTTGTATGATCTGTTAACTTTATGACAATATTACCAAATTTCTCAAAGACTCAATTTCTTCACTTGTAACCTTTTTAGGAAGTTTGAGTTCTCTGGAAACAGAACCCAAGAGGGGCAACCAGGTGCATGAGATTTACAAAGGGGTATCTCTGGAGGATCGGAATGAGGGCAGCTGAGAGGGAAGGGGCAGTAGCTAAGCAACAACGTGCTCTTAGCTGGAGTCTGGCCCCTGCCTGATTCAACTGGGAACTCTGGAGGGTGACTTGTGCCACGCAGTCAGCCTCACCATGAGGCAGGACTGTCAGTATTCTGTGTATTTGAGGGGGGAGGCATATCCTACTGGAGAGGAGGCTTCTTCTGGGCTGAGGGCAATTTTCAAGAGCAGGGGAAGCCATGAGCTGTTATTACCCAGCACTCAGGACAGCTAGAGGATGGGTGCACCAGAGGGTGAAGGAGATGTGGGTGGGGCCCCATTAGCATCCACCTTAAGAATCACAGTACTTCTTTACTTTTTAGGGTTATTTTGACAATGAAATAAAAGAATTCCTGCAAAGTATTTAACACAGTTTCTGGCAGTGTGCCTGTAGATACTTAACAAAGAATTGTATAGTATCTACAGCACCATCTCTGAGGGGCACTTTTCACAGTACAGACATGGTGGGTTTATCACAATGTTCCAGTACACAGCAATAAAGGGAAGGACGGTCCCTTAATGCAATTTTCCCAAAGGCACCATAAGTGTTAGCAGCATCTTAAATTACTACATATTCTATCCAATGCTGAGAAAAAGTTTAATGTGAAAGAACTTGACCTGAAGACATTCTGTATTTTATTGACGTATTTTATTAACTCTAGAAAATGCATTAAAATGTGTTAAGATTTCTGAAATTAAGATACATCTTCTTTCTTAGTCATCTGCGAACAGTGGGGTGCCCCAACAGTGATGGTATCTTAACTGCAGTTAATTAGCATCTATTTGGACCTAGATTATGTCATAGTTCACATGTTCCCATGCTTTGGTTTGAACTTTCTGCTGGTGGGAACAAAAATATGTTATCATAAATATTTAGAACTGTCAAGAGATTTATATGCCATTAATAATATATGCCATGAATAGCAACTGACCTGAATAGAAAATGAGATATCTAGTGAATAAATGTTGAAATAAGAATAATAAATTATGTTCCTAAATGCTGAGGTCTTTAAGCATTTGCAATGTACTTTCCTTTTTTTACTATATGTCTATTCTTCTGCCATTCGATTCCTTTTGATAAAGAGGCCAGGGAGGAAATCAGGTATATTTATTTAATGGTTTCCCTCGGGCCCAAATAGACTCATTATGTTTGCATAATAACTTATTATATTAAGAATTTATAATCCTAAGGAATTGCTGCATTTTTGACAACAGATTCAGTCCTACTTTAAAAATGGTGTGCAGCCCCTCAGCTATGGCAAATTTAACAACAGGGTTCAAGATGTTCCAATGTATAATCTTGACAAGTTTGAGAGAAAATACTTTTAAAAACTTCTGTGGGTGAAAGGCTATTCTTTGAATATGCTCTTAAGTATAAAGGTAATGTTCATTATATAAAGAAACAAGTATTACTCATAAACAAGCCACTTAGAGATAATCGCTGCTAATACGTCAGTACACCCATTGCCTTTTTTCTATGCATTTATTTTTATTTTTATTTTATTTATTTATTTAAAGATTTTACTTATTTATTTTTAAAGAGAGGGGAAGGGAGGGAGAAAGAGAGAGGGAGAGAAACATCAGTGTGTGGTTGCCTCTTGCATGGCCCCGACCGGGGACCTGGCCCACAACCCAGGCATGTGCCCTGACTTGGAATTGAACCAGCAACCCTTTAGCTCGCAGGCCAACATTCAATCCACTGAGCCACACCAGCCAGGGCCTATTTTTTTAAAATAATAGAATCATGCTCTATTTACACTTCTGTCTCTTGTTTTATGTGTCAATATTGTATTGTTACCCAGGGAACTAAATCTTTAAAAGCAAGTTTTTAAAAAATACATTCTTCAAGTAATTTTCCTATGCATTATTTTGGTGAAATGTAAATACATACATAAAGATATGTAAATCACAAATGTGAAGGCCTGTACATTTTCACAAAGTGAGCATGCTTCAATACCCATTACTCAGATCAAATAAGAATATTATCAGAACCCAGAGGCCCTCTTTCTGGTGCCTGCTCCCTATCAAGCATAATCCAATCTGTGTTGCCAACAGCATGAATTAGCTTTCTTGTTTTTTAACTCTATGTAGATGGAATCATCAAGAATGTGCTCATTTGTGTCTGGCCTCTCTTCTTCAACATGATCCTTATGAATTTTATTGATGTTGTACGTGGCCATAGGTTATTATTCCTAGAGCTGCATCCAGTTTGAGTCTGTGACGATACCACTATTTACTGATCCTTCCTACTGTTTATGGACAGTGGGTTGTGTACAGCTGGGCTCTTACCAGCAGTGTTGTTTTGGGTGAACACATGCGTCCCTTTCTGTTACACATCAGGTCAAGTATTATCATCATTTTTCAGACACTACCACTTATTGCTAGTTGTATTAAAGAAAGCTTATTTCAATTGAACTATTGCACTTAGTTGCACTAGTTCATGGAACTAACCAAACATAAAATATTTCCAAATCGTATTGCAGTTTCCAAACACTGTGTAGCATTCTGTTGTCACAAATGGATCATATTCTGCATTTCTAAATTACAGTTTGTTGTCACTTTGGGAAGACATACATTTTTTGTTAGCTGAGTCACATTTTCTGTGTGAACTTATTTTTGGATTCTAAAAGAGACAGCTTACGAAATTATTTATTTATTTATTTTTAGACAGAGAGAAAGGGAGGGAGAAAGAGGGAGAGAAACATTAATGTATGGTTGCCTCTTGTGTGTCTCCTGCTGGGAACTGGCCTGCAACCCAGGCATGTGCCCTGACTGGGAATTGAACTGGTGACCCTTTGGTTCACAGGCTGGCACTCAATCCACTGAGCCACTCCAGGCAGAATTATTTTTATAGTGACAGGATCCTATCTGCCAAGTATGGTTACTTCTCTGTGATCACGTTGTGTAGCGTGGCCTCAGCTTGGTCTATATATAGCTACACATATTTTAGATAAGAAATATTAACTGTTATCTTTCAGAGATAGACGGATATCTACTTCTTACACTCTATAATATTCGGGTGCCCAATTCCATGGCGGGGGGAAGGGTGATATTTACCTGTTAAAACGCTTTGAATAAGATCTTCTGTTTTGGCAGGTGCCTTTACAGAACCTGAAATAAAAAGATAAAATAAATAGCCACTTTCGACTTTCTAAATTTTATTATTCCTGTGAAAACCACATTTGGCCCTTGAGTTTAACTCTCTTTAAGAAGAAATTACAAATTCTGAGACAATTACTCCAAAGAAACTTCTAAGAAATGCTCTCATTTTGTTACTTTGAGGCCAACAAATAAATGTGAATCTGTTTGCTCCACTCATAGAGAAAAAGGATATTGCCTCTACTGAAAAAGCAATTCAGTAGAAGTAGTACTAGTGCCACCTTTCGGCAAAATCAGGAACAGCAGGCAGTCATTTAAAACCAAATGCTGACCAGTTAGTTGGCAGTAATAGTTGTTGCAGGCAAGATCCACTGGTGGGTGCCAAAACCATTGGGCAAAAGTGTGAGGAGAACCAGGATATTTGCATCATCTAGAAGTATCTCCCCCAGTATATCCATTAACTAGAAACGAGAAAACCGTAACTCAGTGGAGAAACCTGGTATGCATCACCTTCACCAAGTGATCCAACATCACCAGTGGCCACATATTCCAACACCGGGTGCCCCTGATATGAGGCACTGAGAAGGGCACAGCATCATTTCTGTGATGTTCTTGCCAAAAATTCATGACTGCAACCTAATCATGAGAAAACATCAGGCTGGTCCAAACTGAGGGACATTCTACAAAATAATCGACCCGTAGTCTTCAACAGTGTCAAGGTCATGGAAGACAGGACAGACTGAGGGACTGCCTTAGGTTAAAGGAAAATAAGACACATGACAGCTAAATACAGGGTGGGGTCCTGGGCTGGAACCCAGAACAATAAAAGGACGTTAGTGGAAAGCAGGTGAAGTTCAAACAAGGTCTGCAGTTCAGTTCAGGGTATTGGGCCAAGGTTAATTTTCTGATCTGATAATTGTACCTGACTCTGACAGATGTTGACACTGGGGAAGTAGAAATCATTTTTGTAATGCATTCTCTTCCATTTAAAAGTGATTCTGTAAGTCAAATTATTTCAAAACATGAAGTTAAAAAAAACAAATAGTAACAGTGTGAATTCTTTTTCTCTCAAAAGCACAAGACTATATTTACTCACATATTTAAATGACTCATTTCTATTCTAGAAGCACTAAAAATGTTTGTATTTGTCATAAAAATCTTCACTTGAAAATACCACTTCTTGTTTATGATCAAATCATCTATTACCAATCTCAACAACCTTCTTAAAAGCATAGGCCCCAGTCACACCTTATACAAACTTAATATGATTTGCTCTTTTCAAAATTTCTTCCTCCCCCATGAGAAATACCCCTCCTGTCCCAAGTGGAGGATCTGGATTTGATTGCAGCCAGGCACTAGCACAATTAGAAAGGATGGAGCCATACTTACACGTAAGAAAATTCTTTTTCCTTTTATTTACTTTATTGACCAACTCAAGAAAAAGTTATTAAGTACATGCTATTCCTTAGCTCTTTGCAAGGGAAATATCCAACTGAAGTCTAACCTGGGAACCTAATCATCTACTGGGGTTATGAAAGAGGGCTGCCTGAAGCAGTCTTAGGTTAAATGCCAAAGTTAGGTGGTAAAAATCAAAGGGTTTTCCTGAGAAGTGAGACATGAGTATAGCTTTGGTAGAAGCACAGAAGCCAAAAGCAAGAGTTTGGGGATCACAGGGAACTGTGACAGTCCTGACATCACTCTTCACTAGCTATGTCACCTTCAAGAAGCACTCTGTCACCTCAAAACTGCAGTTTACTCACCTGTATGATGGGGACAATAATAGAATCTACCCTCATAAGCAGATACTGTGATAAGAGTTCAATGAGGCAATCCATACGAAGGATTTAGCTCAGTGCTATGCAGCTGGTAAACACTCAAGTTATTGAAAATAAGTTGGGGAAAGATGGAAAGGAACTCTTGCAGAGGCTTGACTTAGTGAGGAAGGACTAAGAATGAGCTTCTAAAGGACAGCTGTTTACAAGAAGTCTGAAGAACCCTTCAGGCACCCTGCCAGCAGAGGGATTCTAACCCACCACTAAATAATGACACTAGAAACCTGGGTGATACTGTGCAGTTCATAAGTCACCAGCAGAGCCAGATGGTCACTTAAGTGTCTCTCTTGGCATCCACCCACCCATCCATCCATCCATCCATCCATCCATCCATCCATCCATCCATCCATCCATCCATTCATCCATCCACCCATCCATCCATCCACCCATCCACCCATCCATCCATCCACCCATCCACCCATCCATCCATCCATCCATCCATCCATCCATCCATCCATCCATCCATCCATCCACTGCTCTGACACACATTTCTGGAGTCCTCCTAAGTCCACGCCCCCTTGCTCACATGACGCTTTAGGTAACTGAATCCTGCCACCTCCTTGGTGGCATGAATAAACTAGAGGCTCTCTGTCCTGTTGTACAGCCTCTTTTCTGAGTGTTTACCTGGAGGAGGCTGGCTGTGGAGAGCCTGGGAGGGTGGTTTGGGTGCCAGGGATGTGGTGTGGTTCACTCCGTTTTCTGCTGGAGTCGTCCTGGCTTCACTCGGCGACTCTGAAGGTGTTTCCCCAGGATCAGCCTACAATCATAAACATCCTTTCATTCCCCATATTTCTTACTGTTTGTTTTTTTTACTTTCCTAAACCAACAAGGCTACATTTGATAGTGCATTCACAACTCATCAGGAGTCTGAAATATAAAACGTGAAACTCTTTAGAAAGCAGCGTAAAAACAGCATGGAGTTGAACAATGGCTGATAGGTTAACTGTATGAAAGACCCCAGTTTTATCACTTTCTATGTCTAGGCCCCAGGTAGTGCCTCACACACTGACTTTGGACCTGAACATGTGATTAGCTTTGGTCAAATGAGACTGTAGTAGACGGTGCAAGCCAAGAAGTGAAAACACACTTTTGAGTTTTTCCTTTTTCTCAGACCCCTGTGATAGCAATGGAGGCTGAGAAACCATGTGGAGGAGAGCTGGGTCATCTAGGCAAGGAAGTCCTAGGTCAGCCAGCCCCCGCTGGCCACAGGCATATGCTTGAGACCAGGTAGGATGAGCTGAGCATGGTCCCCAGAAACAGAACTGCCCAGACGACCAAGTGACTCATGAAAAATACCAAGTAGCTGGTGATGTAAGCCACTAAATTTAGGGGTTGTTTGTTAATGCAGCCATAGCTAACTGATACAGTGGGTACTAGCACAGATTTTGGAGACAGACTTACCAAGTTTAAATTCGAGCCTCACCACTTATGGGCAATGTGGTATTAGGCAGTTTACTTAACTGTGCGTCAGTTTCCTCACCTTTACAGATGAAGGTAAGTATGTACTAGAGATCATAAAATCTCTATTGTAAAGCTGTTTAGAGGACCAAGTAAGTGAATGTTCATGAAGTTCTCAGTATAGCTCCTGGTACAGAGTAAACATATGTGTGTTAAATAAATAAAGCATTGAAACTTATGTAACACCACAAATGAATCACAATAATAACAAAGGCATTGAAACTTATGAAGTCCCCACCCGATACTCTCCAGCAACTAGAGCGCATCCCTGTGCAGAGTAAACCCTTAGTAAATGTTGATCCTCAGACAGTGATTGCCACAGTGATTACAGCCCATGTAAACGATGCTTTAAATGTTCTGTAACCCTTTTCTTAGAATTGCCTTCCAGGTCCATGGCCAATTTTACTGACAGTGATGCTGTGTCACTGTTTTACTTTGTAATACATTACAAATATAGATATTAGGAAAGAGCCGGGAATCATTTGGAGCTCAACGTTGTGACATTTTGTCATGTAATTACAGATAATGGATTGTCATAATATAACATCTTTATAAAAAGTAAGATGAGTGACAGTGACACTGATTGTCACAAGAAGCTTTCACCATCCACCAAAGCATATTTAAAACATGAGTCTCACAGCCACTTTGTGTGATGGCAGAACTTCATTTCATTCCACAAACAATCCCCACTCGTCTACCGCAGCCTGCTCAGTGCTCCTGGAAGCCATGGCCCTGGGACCACGGGAGATCACCTGGGGGACTGGGGACCTAAACCAGTAACCTAGGCACCCGGAGAACTCACTATGCAGAACTCTGCCTTTGAAAGATGTCTCTTTCAGCAGGGTAAGTTCTAGCGAAGTCATGTCATTTAGTTACATTCATCGGGAAAATTCTCCCTAGAATCACTATGCCTTATGTGCATTCTTTGTTCAGCAAAAATTTGCAAACTGCAGGCTTAAGGTCCAAATACGGGACATAAAAATGTGTTCTTTGGTTCACTATATATACATACATACACACACACACATACACATACATGCATATGTGCACGCACACATGTTTGTATACACACATATGTAGGTGACACTTTTCTTCAAAAAGTGGATCAGGCAACCCTGGGCTTGTGTTCCCGCTTTGGGCTGGAACTGAGTGGTTCCTGCCCTTTCGGGGTCGCTCCTCTTTACTCACTTGGCTCCCCCTCCTTCATTCCTGCAGGCTTTTAGGTTTGTGGGAGACACTTGAGAAGACTAAAATACAATAAATATTTGGCCACAAAATTTATAAAGGAAAATCATCTACACTGCACAGCAGAAGCTGAAGTAAAGGGAACACTGGAAGGAGCACTAGGTCATTTGGGAAGGCATCCCCTGGGGCTGGTCCTTGGAAAAAAGTGTAGCAAAGCCTCCCAGACCCCCAGCTGAAGGGGGCACCTGTGGACGCCAACTCAGCTGCTTCAGAAACAAAGAAGGATGGTGCCTTGTTCCACAGACACCTGACCTTCCCCAGCTATATCCAGGCAGGTTCCTGGAACCACGTGGGGAGTGAGCCAGATTCTTTCCAATGTGACAACTGGCTGTAATTAGCCCTCTGGAGAAGAATAAGAAGGCAAGAAAATATTGATGGGGGAAAGTATGGAGGTGATGAAAAGCCAGTTTCTAGGAAGGAAATCACAAGTGGCTTCTTTTTAGCAACTAGAATTAGTAGTGCCTTGAAGGTATCAGGCGAGGAGTGTATTCAAAATGCATGCAGCCTGGATATTTTTGCCTTATATCTGACTTGTACATTCCATGTAGCTTGCATGCAACTTGGGAAAGCAAGTTCCCTCCTCTATGCAAGTCAAAATGAAGGAAAAATGGATATCAAAGATGTGTATGATGAAGTCCCTATATGGCAGACACTGATATAATACATACGTTCAAAAGTAATTTTTAAGGAGCAGATAAATTCTGAATAAACACACAGGCAGACACTTTATAGTTACCACTGAGCACAAAGAGATCACCAGGGTTCAGTGCTGCATTTTGAGGCATGCTTTGGAGAAATGCTGAGTCCAGGATTCACACCTGGAGATGCCTGCCTCCCGGCAGGGCGGGCTGCATGGCATGACCCGAGGTGGGTGCTCTTCACACCACACACCAGTAGGTAGCTGATGGAAATGCCGGAAATGCCTGTAAGTGCACCCGATTGAGTGCAACAGGGCAAAGTGAGGCTGTGCCCGGAGCTGGAGATGCAGCTCCTGAAAAGGAGGCGGCTGCCACTCAGTTGCAGCCTGTCATTGCCCAACCTTTGGGGAAAGCTGGAAAATGAAATTTTGCATATTTCCCAATTTTAAGTCACGGAGGGGCGAAACACAGCACAAGTTGAGCCTGCGTTTGGCCCAGAAGCTGCCTATCTGTGCCCTTTGCTCAGAATTGGCCTGGGATTTTGGGATTGTGTTAAGTGAGCCAGGCACCCACAGCAGCGCTGAAGGGTGTGTGGTGCTGGAATCACAGCTGGTCTGTAGTCTCACAGTCCCACCTCATCCCAGGGTCTGAACAAGGTGGGGACAGAGGGCAGGTAAGGCAGACACTGGATGCTGGGACAGGGATTTGGGTTTCTTTTGTGTGTAGTTAGGTACTCACCAGCGGCCTCTTATGATTTTCTGGAATCAAATTTGATTTATTAGTTTGGTGAGGATCTATGATGGCAAATATATTAGACTGATGTTTAACATGTTTTGCTAACTAAGGACAGTCCAGGCACATTTTAACTGACTTTTCCCCAGTGGAGACAGACAATGGAAGCAGCGGCAGGCAGTGTGCTTGACACTGCACAGGCACCAGCTCTGTCGTGGCCGTGGACACAGGCACACCCTTGCTCCACTGTGGAGCAAAGGCCCAGGGGGGACTACTGAAGGTCTTCACTAAAGACGTTATTAACAGTCACGTGACATGGTAGAGGCCACATGATTGGTAGAAGGATTGTGTGTTATGCTCTGAAGTCTGACTTTCTCCATTGCACAAGTTCACTCTGTATTCTATGACGACAGCAACTTAAGAAACTGCGACAGCAAATTTGCTGCTGAGATAAGAGTTTTATAAATGTAAACGCCATTCTCAGAGAGCCTACTGTGTTGCACTAAAGAGGTATTTATGTATAAGAAGTTAAATGAGTTCAATGCAATAGCTTAATACAAGACATGAAAGAAAAACAAAACCAAAAGAAAACACCTATAGAAATATATTACTGTAATTAATTTTTTAAAAATACCATCTCTGAAACATTTAATGATTCCTACTCTATGGATATGTAAGCTGAAGTGAAAAACAAAATCTCTTGTCCCACTTAAAGGAACCAGTGGAAGTTAATACTTGTGACTTTGTTTATCCTTAGACTTTCCCCAAATATATTTTTACGAGTTGGAATAAAAGAAGCACAAAATTCTTTCACATTGAACTGGAAATTATTATAGAAACAAAATAACTAGAAAGGTCCGCGTTCTCAATTTAATGGAGAGACTCTTCAGATCCAATTAAGCAAATTTCAAGGAAAAAAGTTCAAAGCTAGTGTTTTAGTTGAACTGAATTTTGCTTAGCTGAGTAAAGAAAAATGTGCAGAATTAACCACAGCAGAAGTAGGGCCCTGCCATCTAGTGGCCAAGTGAAGTAGTACAACATTTTTTTTCACACGGAGTAGTGGAATTTTAAAACCAAAATTGTATTTTAAAAATGTTTATTTTGTTCTAGTTAAAAATAAACAAAAGTGCCCTTAAAATATGTTATAAGTGTGTCAGTAAAAGGACAACTGTAAAGGCCATTTTTATGTTTTACAGAGAAGGAGATGCCATTCGATAGGCTAACTGAAAAGATTTCCATCCTAGGCATTTAAAATTTGGATGTAATAATCCAGCAATAGAGAGTTAGAGTGTGGGGAACTCATTTGGCTGGGTAATATCAAAGTAAAGGGTCTCCCAGATGCCAAACGTGCACCTGAGTTGTTGGAGATGCTGGGCCGTGCTCTCCTTGCCTGAGTCATCTAAAAAGTGCAACCCCTTCCAGGCAGTGGCTGGGACAGGAGCACCTTGCTCTGGACGGGGAAGGGGCAAGGCCATCGGATTTTCTGGGAGAGTAAGGGAGAGACTGGTAATTCATCAGGCAGAAATCCAGTCCACATGGCACAAATGTGGGCAGTGAGCGGGGCTGCTCAGAACAAGTCTTTCCCTCCAGAAAGAGCTCCCTCAAACACATGTGTAATTGGCACCTTAAATTCCTACTAGCTGAATAAATAAGAGAATGTATCTTCTCCAAATTTCTAAGAAAT